GATGCTAATCACCACAGTATTGTTTGTTGATTTCATTGTTCAGCTTATGTGGAAAATGAAAACGTTTTTACCGCAAAGAACTTTTTTTTCATTATAACTATTTACCGATTATGGATATGACTAAAATGAAATTGCCAATTACAATTATCCGACCAATCCTATCAAGTAATAGCTGCTCATACAGGGCGCATATTTCCATATAAATCTCGACAACGGATGCTGAGCTGACTCATCAGCAAGGCGTCCAGTATTTTAAAACGCGAATACCATAAGCCGCTCGCCACGTGTCGTTTGGGCGCGCGTTTGAATCCCGGCTGCGTCTATTTGCGGTAAATGGGTCAAGCCAATCCCAAGTTAGCTGCAAGAACGAATACAAAAAGAGTAAAGTGAACGCGGACGGGTGCGCGCGCGCAGCGTTAACGAGCGGTTTAACTGGAGTTTAATTTTTAGTGTATGGAACTGGAATGGGACGTTTTAAAATGACTTTAGCGCTACATTTTATAATTTATTTTAAAGTATTATAATGTGAAATGGATAGATAAGACTTTTCTTGTAGTGTCAATTTTCTCACATTTTAATATGCATTTCGCTGCAAGTTACCATAAAAAGAAAAGAATGTTTAGCACATTCCTGTATATGCGCCTACGCATGCGTGCACACGTGAGGCTAGGCGAGGTGCCGACGCTGGAATCTCCATACATTCCAATTTCTTACACACTAGTAGCCGGAGCCGAGTCACCAAGTCACCAAGGTTGGAAAAAAGAATAGTGGACGACATTGGACGCAGCACATAATACATATACATTATACATAGCCTGTACATAAGGCGGAAGTGTCGCCTTGTCGAGACTTGTTCGCCTTACCAGTAATGTCGATACATTTAACGTGTCTATATACGACACTATAACTATAGACTTGTTTTTGATCTTAAAAATATGATTGTGTTTATTGCTAAACAAAAAAAAAATACGTCTCTTTATGGATGTACTGCTAAGTAGAGTTTGTTTTTGTTGGTATTGCCCCATTAAAGCAGCCACTAAACTTTGCATGTTGCAAGTAACCTGCCTTAAGTACAGAAGAATTATGGGTTCAAATAATGGTAATTTTATTCTAAAAGCATTTTGGCATGTTTATCCTAACGTGCAGTTAAACTAGCTTCGGTAACTGCAGTTAACGTTAATCCCAGTCGGCAGTGTTGTGTCGATGCGCGCGCGCAGTGCATCGGCCGCGTTGCGCAACCGCCGCTATTTATACTCACCCTCGCCTAGCGCCGGAACTTCTCCGGAGAAAGTTTGCACTATATTTTTATTACTATACATATTTTATTCGGGAGATCTTGGATGCCAGAGATATTTTCAGTTTATATGTCCCATGTCGATAAAGACTAATTTTATAGGCGAAATATGGCCGACAGGTGACCGCTATCACAATTTTGAAATGATGTCTATGACCCAAATGATAAATTTATTTTAAGATCAAGTCCTACAGATCGTCCTGCAGACGTTTAGAAATAGTTCGTTAGTATCATATCTAATAGAAATATTTTTTGTGCCACCACCATGGAGTTTTAAATTGATAATTAATATCACAGTTGCTCCATAGATGTTTTCGCCATATTACTAATCAATTTCGCTTACCTAATTGACAATATTTGACATGAATACTTATAATATGAATACTTTAAGCATCAAAAAGGCATAAGCAGTAAGCAGATAATTTGCAAGTACTTTTACCCATAAACTACTTCATAATTACAACTTACAACATAAAGTGTATAATCATACTAATTTGTAGAAGGCAAGTCGATCTCTCACCTCTAGATAATCATCTTACAATGGCCTCTATGCAGCGCTAGCGACCTCTACCACAAATGTATAATCAACCAGCTTTTGTATACTTTGTGACCTTTGACAGTTTGTGCGCGGGTTACTTTCAATTTTCATTATTTTTATTAGCTAGAAAATAATTGTATTTTAGGAAATTATTCTCATCTTACTGAAGTCTTTATGAAGGTTTTCAGTTTTTACGTCAAATTTATATTTTTCACATTGTGCGATCGTTGATCGTGTGTAAAGCAAGTTATTTATCTTGTAGTCTGTCATCCCTGATATATTATTGTTCAAAGGCAGCGCTATTAATATCTGCTACCCACGCCTACAGTCCATTATCCACATGCTTGGACGAACACGCTGTTTACTACCAAAAGCATGTACCTATGAGAGTGCTTCACAAAAAGAGACAACCGCTGTGAAATTATGATGATAATATCTTAGCAGGAATAAACTGCAACTCGTTATAAGAAAGAGAATAGAAAATCAAATTCCGAAGATTTGTAATATCTTGAGTGTGTTCAGTCAGTGCTAATTTAAGTAAACTGTAAAAGACCTTTACGTGATAAAATATCCGAATAGATCAGATTTCCTTGTAAAAAGTTACACTGGTTGGTACACTAATTACCTCGAGTAGAGATCCATGACTATTGACTATCAGATATACAAATTGAGCTTTGTCGAAGTGCTTCTAAGACCTATTGTGCTCGTAGATAAATCAGATAAAGAGCAGTCCATTCTTCGCAACCAGCAAGGTTACGAATATAATGCGAACATTATCTAATACAACATTATCGCCATTATATAACCGTCCTCGCGTATTTATAAACAATATTATAAACAAACGGTCTTAATTTGTTGTCAAATCATTCGAGACCTGTCGCCACTTCCGCGTGTTTATTTAAAATTAGTCGCTTAAGGTCACCGCGAAGGTTGACGGTGACAATTAATGAATTATACAAGCGACCGATTTATTCAGATTTCTAGATCATTTAACATAATGCAAATATTGTAGTTGTAAACAAATTCGACACATGTTTGCCAATACGAGTACTTGAACAGTTTCAATAACAGCGATGTGGGGAACAAAACACTACAACTTTTGAAGTGCATTCGATAACAAAACACGCTTCCTGAGTAGTTATCATAATGACAACTGAATAGAAAAACCTTTTGATTGTTACGTTTTCCTAAAAAACTGCATTAAGATGAAAGTAATCCATTGCAAAGATCCAAACATTTCCCACGGCAGAATCAATAGTAAAAGAAATCACGAAATGTTTCGTTCTTTAAGTTACAAATCATTGATATGGCACTAACAACAACTGCAATGGTTAAATAAAAATGGTTGACATGTTCGAGTAAAACGTTAATAAACAGTAGTAATCAGGCCAGATACTCGTGCAAACAGTTATGGAACCTGTCAAAACAAGCTGTGCACATCTCAGGTTCATCTGTTTTCTCGCTGGATGTCAAGTGATATAGCGATGATTGTTTTCTACCCTCCTGGGCGTTGGCCGGCGGCCAGGGTGCGTCGCCCCGACCGGCCGTTGTCTCTTGATCGATTTCAAACAGAAATAGACATGATGCATTGCTGGCAACATGAGATTCTTTTCATGTCGTCACAGCTTGTGTGGGTAATCGTGAACTTTGTTTAACTAAGGCAAGAAATAGTTTTTTTTATTTGCATTTGCCCGTACACCTTAGACCGGTGTGCAATTGACACCCACCGTGGGCCATGTGCTCGAACGTTAGAATGTAAAATTGTACACATTTACCGGCAGGGCTGCTAAACGCCATTCCCGATCCGTGTTATCCAGTAGTCACTTACAACCTGCGCGGGATTAGCAGCTGATACATTCTAGTTTTCTATTAGTGTCTTAATTATAATAATGGTTTTTAAAAAGACTCTGACAGCTCCTCAATAGATTAGCTTCTGATAATTAAAACTAAAGTGTGCTTCATTACAATGTACTTAACGATTATTTTCAAAGCTAGAGACTAAATAAATATGATTATGAAAAGTTTGTCGGCTAACTTTGTCGTTAGCTCTAAGGATTTAAACAGTTTACACAACTTTCTTAATCAATTTGATCTTATTAAATTTTAAGAGAACACAATCCCAATCGTCTTATTACATTTTATAAAGGTTATTTTGTGTATTTTACAAGATACTAATGTTTAACGTGAAAATGTACACAAATGCAATAATGGGAACGGTATAATTTTCCTGGAAGTTACATTTCTTCAAAACAAAAAAGTCTCACATTTCGGTAGATCTGAGCTTGCGCACGCGAAAAGCGTCCCGCGTCTCTTGTCCCGGGGTCGACGGACTTGCCGCGGTCACGTCGGCCGTTCCCCGGTCGCGGGAAAATGGGGAAACTATTGTTGCGCACAATGCGTGCGCGCTTCCGTGTCAACCAACCTGGGACGTTCTACCCGCAAATTACCGTACACCAGGGAACAGATATGTCTCAGCGCCTATGGGATCCCGGATACATAGCGTACTTATTATCATCACTTGCTCAGAAGTGACATTTTTAATACACTGTCAGAATACATTAATTACCACGCGTTATCTAACATACGCTAATCAATTTTTTTTACATTTATGCAAATATGATCGCCAGTGCGTTTGTTTCCAGAAGGCATGTGTCGTACGCGTCAGTGCACCCGTTTATTGATACGTTAACCTAACAACTGTACAGGACTTTACTATAGGATTGTAACAGTGAAATCCCGTTATAATAACATATCCTGTCTTTGAAATTACGTATGCAAAGGGTACAATTTGCGGATCCTGTGCTTTGTGTCAGTACACTCACATTATATGCTAATATCTTTACTTTAGTTTGTAATCTGTATATTTACTAATTGCTTATTTTAAGATGAAAAAGAATGCATTAAAAATATCTCAAAATAAATAGTATTTAATTGAGTGTAATGTTCGTAACTTCAATGGCGACCCGCTCTCATGGAATATCATTTAAAAATCGAATAACGTTCCTCAAAACAAGCATTGTGTGGATTTTATTTTATTTTATGCGCTGACAATACTGGGACATTGGAAACGCATGAGAATGTCAGTGAGAACATTTTTATTGACATTAAAAAGTACACAAAGTTTTATGATAGTTAAAATAACTTATTTAAGTATTATTTGTTACATATGTTTTAGCTTGATAACAGCACCATCACTTAAATTCCAGCGATCTACGATCGTAAGCATATTGAGTACAACAAACTATTAAAATAATAAAATAGTATTCGCAAGCATGTAAAAAAAGCCTACAAAAAGGTTGCACAAAATCGCAACACATATTCGAGCTACCAGGCTAGCAGTCTTTTGAAGAGATCACCGCTCCACCACGTTGATTAGTACTATGTGTTCGCCGCGCATCATCATCTGGGGTACATGTCTCGTACACTCGAATATTCCCTTCCCAATAGGAGTTTCTGTCACTACCGGGATGGTAGAGATTGTTGCCGCCGTGCCTTTGGGAACCGGTTTTCCTGTTTTTTCGAACATTGATATTAGAATAGCACTTTCCTTCATGAAATTTTACTATTATGTACATCCTAAAATCTTTGACTTACCCATTACAGGAGGGATCTTCCGCTGTTTGATTCTCTTTCTCTGCCAAATTTCTAGGACATCACTAAGCGCCATGTTCCAATGCTTGTCAAAAGCTACCAGGGTCGCATGAAGTACACCTCTCACTCCTGTGTGGCTGCGTGTTATTATCTGTGGACAATTCATAAACAAAATAATTTCTGAAGCGTTCTGTAATAAACATAAATATTTTTTTCTTCAAAACACAACCACTTTTTTAAATTCCATCGCTTCATCTCATGGTGACAGCTGGCAGAAATAACAAGACATTCTGTTTATATTTACACTAAAATACAGGTGATTCTAGAATTTGGAAAATCGCTATCGAAATTGTAAAATGACGCGTTTATTTACAATGGAAAATACCACTGGAAACGTTTTCAACTAGCAGGCGCGAAGGGCCTTGTTAAGGGCGATGAGTAATGTACTTATTCTTTGTTTCAGACGGAACGTTGCATGACAGCGCGTGGTGACTCCCCGCCCTATGTGTTCACATGGAAACCTGCCTTCCAGCATAGCAATACACCACCAGGCTCAATGGTAACTTCTTATTTTTATGCAGTTGTAAGATTTTCAAACGAGCCAAGTTCTACTTATTCTGTGATAGCTCTCTACAATTAATATACTCCTATATTTATTAATATGGTTTCATCTGACATTTTTAAAGGTTTTCTTAAAACACTTAACAAGACGCTTAGTAAGGACTTAACAACAAAAACGGTTGTACGTCTGGTAGAAAATCAAAATCTCCAGTTACATATATTAACATAAAGATAAGCCGGTTTTCAGGGCCGAATATGAACGTAAATAAAGCCTCCAATGTAGGGTAAGCTGTTTGTGTCGTCATCAACGTCATTTATACGTAGATCCGGGAAGCGCGTATGTCTCTCTTTATTACAATATCTCTTGGAAGTTTGCCAATTTAATCCAACTTTTCTACGAGCCACGAATTCTAGAACATTCCGTTCCTCTTTCGGTGGCAATTTATTCTGTTCAACAAATTTAGGACAAAGTAGTGATGAATGACATGGTACACAAGACGAGGCTTAATGACCTACTGAGGTCAGACAGGATACTGTAATATTGACACTAATGCCACTACCTGTAAGTTTGTACTAGCTGAATATGAAAACCTTCGGATTGCCCAGGCGAGTTGTCAGCATAGATCTGCTATATCGGCACAACAAAGTGGGATGCAGACAAATTTAAGTGTTATAATTCAATCAGTGGCAAACAAATACGCGGTGTTGTTGCGGAAGGCGAGGCGGCCTCGGTGGGGGCCGATTTAATTCGTAAGTACCACGCCAAGGTCCGCGCCGCTTATTCGTATGGAAACTTTTTTGATTTTTCCTCCTTTGTGGCTTTTGGTGTTTTCAAGCCGTTAATAACAAGGTGACAGAAAAATGCGTGCATGGAATCACGATTTTTTAAATTAAATTGTATTAATTAATAGCTTGAAACAATCTTGTTAAAATTGGCCGTGACTATCAAACGCTATGCAGCTAAGGCCAAACATAAAGTTGATGATCTTTCATATTTTTTCTAGTTTTTTACTTTTTTCTATTCGTACGTATTCTCCGTAGTTTGGAAGGTGGCCAGGCGTTCTTGAGCATACGAATGCAGCGCAGACACAAAACATGGTCAGAATTTACGTGAATCGTATGATCACAACATAAATATTTTTATGATGTGGAAATAAATACACTTGGCCATTTTGATAGTCGAACCATTGATAATTTCATTTTATATATTTCTATACTTATAAAGTTTTATGTTCTGCACTGTTCGAAAAAAGTACACAATTCTCTGAATTAATCCGTCAAAGCAAAAATAAAGGCTACTTTTTCCACTATACCTTATTGTTGCAAAGCCAGATATGGACTGCACATAAAATCAAAAGTGTTATATTCCTCTCGGGTCACGAAGGTCAGCTTTAATAAGTCCCGCCAAAGGGCACGAACTTTAATATATAAACCCATTAAAATATCCATTACACAGGCTGTAAGCCCCATATATTCAGCTTGCACCAAATAAGGGTAATGTAAATAAAATTCAGCGGTTTTAACGTGACAGCTAGAATGACGCCGCGGCTTCCGGGTTGAAAGTTGCTTTGGACCCAAGGTCGGCTTCTTGCCGTCAGAGGGCACTGCTCTGCCGGCAAGTGTGCTTACGTCACTCAATACTTTGCGACCTTATGTTCAGTGCTCGTTTTAATGCCTTGTGCAGACTCATTGCAGTGCCGGGGACTTAATAGATTTTTAATTTAAGACTTTTCGTGACTCACAGCACCATTCAGATCAAAAACAGATGGTTTTTATTTTAATTTCAATAAAATATTATGAGAAAATCAATCAATGACAGAGCATAATTACATTTTTATATTACTGTTGCCGCAAGCTCGAGTGCTAATTAATAGACATAAAAATAAATGCTCCAACACTGTGCTGACTCGGACAGGTGCGCCAGTTGCGTGCACAATACCTATGCAGGCACCTGCCAATATTTACACATAGACAACACTTACTAGAGTGTATTCATAATGACTTCTATTTATTAAAAAACTCTGACATTACTTCTCAAAAGTTTTGGAGAACAGTTACCCTATGCACTTATGTAATTTTAACAAAAGTCCTCAATACGACCTGGTTCTGGTGAAAGGGAAAATGGGGCCTTGTGATTTAATGGTGATGTCATTGTGACCTTTACGAACCGCTTTTTTCTGACACCACTACCTGCTCAACTGTAAGACACACAATACAAGGTCAAAAGCTTGGTAAAGACCTCAATATGTCTACGAGATGGTCGAGAAGAGTATGCCGCTATTTTGAAAGAAAAAACATTAATTCGCCACAACATATACGAAGAGATTTTAAACTAGTACTACCAAGTAGTGTACCAAGTGAACAGGATCAATGCTAAGCGGATGCCATCCAGGAAGATCATTGGATGCAATTTAACAACGTTAGTCGAGCCGTCAAACACAATTGTAAGGGACACCTTGAAAATGACCTAGCTCTTTAAAACTGTGTACGCAGTTCCAGAATCTTCCGGTATTTTTGAAGGGTGAGGTCAAATAGGAGAATTTGCAATTTACCAATCATGGTCGGGAAATTGCATCAAGTGCAGAGGCAGGTGAAGGGAGGACGAATACCTCCCACGGCACTTGCTGCTTCATTGGGTGAACTATGTTGATTACTTGATCTGATGCTGACAAGATAACGGCGCGGAAATATAATAACAGTCCACGAGAAGAATGTGAATTATTCTATTTGGAAAATGGAAAATTACCACAGCCAAGTAAATAACAAATTTAAAGGAATGCATACGTTTCATGTAACTGGCCGACAGAAGAGTAATAAAATATATGCACTTCCCGATTAGCAAAACATGAACTTATCGGACGTCCCAGGAAGACTCTAGTCAAATGAATGATACGTAATTGTCCGTCAGGGCCGAAGACATTTGGCTCGTTGTCGCCAAGGCGAAGGGCGCTGGGCAGTGCCCAGCCTGTTACGCAACCCGTCTATTTTCAACAAAGTGATATTGCTGGCGATTGTGCGGAATCCACTGGCAGATGCGCCGCCTACCGTTTATAAGGAATGTTTGCGTAGCCGGCTTGATAATTGTACGTAATGGATAATTTATGGAGTTCCGAAGCTGTTGGAGTTGAATTAACAAAAAACTAAAGCATTGCATCTGACTGATACTGGTTATTGCTATACTAGCTCCTGAGTAGAATGTTAATTTCAGATAATGATAGTATGCATAGTGCTGTCAAGTGCAGATAGTGAACATGAACGAGTCACTGTCAGAATGTTCTTCACAAGTTCATGATCTCAGTATGTCATCGGACCATCTGGCCGGCGATTTACCTTTCGGTCGTTGTCCTTAGTAAATATTTCATTTACTACTAACTACGCAATATCGTCTAAATATAGTTTCCAAGTCACCTAATGAGGTGTTTACAAGCACCACGTTTCTCTGCATGATTTTCTTGTCTACTTTTAAACTAAGATGTACGAACGTGATTTATTATTCCGATGGATTTTCCTTGGACATTACGTTCTATTACAATGGAGCGAGTAGCAGGCATAATAATGCGCGCACTGTTACTTGAACGGAAGGAAAAAGCTCTGGTTTCGTAACATGAAGGTTGCAGCCCTGAACATGTGAGGCCAATCGCAATCAGGGATGTGCCGAATTTTTGGTAAATTATTAAGTATCTTTATTCATATCGGTTGCTTAATATTTGATTTAAGTCAGCTCCTTGAAGCGTTAAGTGGTTTTTAGCGGTATAAGTAAGGTCAAGTTTATCATAAGAGTATTCTTGTAAATAAGGTAAAGGTTTATAGGAAATATGGTAATGAAAAAATAATTTGAAGAAATTAATAAAAGTGTGGACTTGCAGAGTTTCGCCGAATTAATTTTTAATACTGTATTTACTCTGACTAAAGAGGAGCCTAAGAGGTGCATAATATTTATGAGGTAAAATCATGCAAAGCGAACAAAATGCCCTATGGTAATACACGTTAAATGGACTCACTATGAGTGAAAGTGCACAAGTTATGCGGTGCAGCACTTCTGCAGACCACCGTTTCTCTTCAGTCGCATAGAACTCATCTCCCTGTTTATAATGACAATTGAGTTGCATAGTAAAGCATAGCATAGTCAAATAACGCGACATTGCCTACTTTAAAATTATCATAGATATCATGGATGTTTTTGAAATCACTTCATTCTTTGTAGAAACTTATAAGAAATATGTTACTATGAAAGCCAAACAAAAGTCTTCGTTAATTTATTCGTTGTTTTTATCTGAATAATGAATTAAAAATTCAATTCTAATTAATCTAGGTATTTTTATGTAGGTTATTAAGCATGATGCACGCACTGTTTAACTTGACAGTCAAGATTGATAAATAGATGACATCCATAGCTCTATCACCTGCATAGAAACAAAATCGCCGCATTACATTATTAACATTTCACGTTTGTCTGTCTGTACGTATACCTAATAAATATGAAGAAAGAGCTATTAATCTAAACTGTCGTCGAACTAATATCACAGAGGAAAGTTTTACCAGGGATTTGCATAGAAAACGATCACACAGTTATGATATCGGCGTGAAACT